CTCGTTCTTTTATTGAGTCTGTTTTATCCTTTTGTTTGGTGGCATGGTTTGGTCAGACCTCTGTCACAGAGAAAAACTCTCTAAATCAGATAGTGAGATGGTCCAGTCATCTGATAGGTGAGCCACAGTCTTGTTTAGCCTCCCTGTACTCCAAGCAGGTACAGAGGATGGCTTTATCAATCCTTAAAAATGGTTCCTATCCTCTAAGGGGTGAATTTCAGCTTCTTCCCTCAGGACGGAGGTTTCTATTTCCGAGATGCAGGACAAAGCGTTATAAAAATAGCTTTGTCCCCGTTGCTGTCACTGAATTAAATAAGAACTGTTTTTGATTTGAAATATTAAAATTACTATATATGTGCCACAGTGAGCTTTATATATTTACTAGGTATGTGTGTTTTTAAAGGGATGCCAAATGCTGTCATTTTTCTGTAAAGCAAATTTACCCTGCCTTCGGGTATAAATAAAGTTACCTTGACCTACCTTGACCTTGACAAAGTGCTTCACAAAGAAATACCAAGGTATTTAAAACAAAACAGACAAAAAAGTTAACCAAATGCAATTCCAAAAAGATGAGTTTTTAGTTGTTTTTTAAAAGAGACTCCTGAGTCCACAGATCTTAAGCTTGGAGGAAGAGAGTTCCACAGTCTTGGGGCCACAGTGCCAAAAGCTCTGTCTCACTTAGTTCTTAGCCTTGTATGCTGTATAACAAGTAGGCCCTGATCACATGACCTCAGGGACCTGCTGGGGACATAGAGCTGTAGCAGTTCAATAATGTTCTTGTTCATAAAGAGCTCTAAAAGAACCTGAATCTTAAAATGGACTCTGAATTCAATGGGGAGCTGTATGAGCAACGGTGTCACGTGTCAGTACTTAGAAGATTTCGTCAAAAGCCTTGCTGCAGCATTTTGACGAAACTGCAGACATTCCAAGGAGTTTTTTTCTTAGACATATAAACAGTACAATTACAGTAATCCAAATGTGATGAAATGAATGTATGTATAACAATCTCCAGTTCAGTGCGTGATACAATAGGACTTAATTTAGCAATGTTTCTTAAGTGATAAAATCATGACCGAACCAAAGATTTGACATGAACCTTTGTTTATTTATTTATTTTTATTTCACACTTGGTTCAGCAGTTTCAACAGTTTATCCTTTAATACACACAAACCATGATTTCCCTTGAGATAACACTGCACCCATAAGTGAAAAGGAGCAGAAAGAAGAAAATATTCATATTCTTATCTCGTCCAAAGTCAAAAGTTACCCCAATGTTCCTGATAGATGATTTTACAAATGTCGAAAGGTGGCCAAGAACTTTCATTATCATTGTATTACATTGATTTGTACAAAACTTAAAGAACTGCAAAATAGAATGATGCATGCTGAAATAATAATCATGTAATTTATCTAATACAGGGGTGGGCAACTCCAGGCCTCGAGGGCCGGTGTCCCTGCAGGTTTTAGATGTGTCCTTGAACCAACACAGCTGATTTAAATGGCTAAATTAGCTCCTCAACGTGTCCTGAAGTTCTCCAGAGGCCTAGTAACGAACTAATCATGTGATTCAGGTGTGTTGACCCAGGGTGAGATCTAAAACCTGCAGGACACCGGCCCTCGAGGCCTGGAATTGCCCACCCCTGACCTAATAGAATAGAATTTACGAGATGGACTGCAAAATAATTATTTTCAAATCATTATTATTATTATTATTTTTAATTTGACAGGAACAATGTTTTCAAACAACAAAGTGGTTCCAGACCAAATGTGAAGAAGGTCTTGATAGTAATTACTGATGGAGAATCTAATGATCGGCAGAATCTACGAGATGCAACAAAGCGAGCAGAGAATAAAAACATTGTTCGATTTGCTATTGGGGTAAGTACTTCCATTCCTTAAACTTGCATAATGTTGAGTTTTATAAGAATAGTGGGTTTCATTCAGTTGCCAGACTACAGTCACATTATGCTGCACTATAGGGAGAAAAGTCCTGAGCCACCCACTCACTACACTTCCAGAACCTGCTTGACCATAGAAACCAATGCTATGAAGCTCCTGTCGAACAATTTTTGTACTCTAAATGCTTCCAATTTGAAATAATACCACTTATAGTCAATCATGGAATGTACAGGAGTGATTATAATTTACAAACTGATTTGTTGCAGTGGGCAGAACGGTGGCACGGTGGCGTGTCGTTAGTGGGGATTGGTTAATTGGGATAGGTTAAGACATCTGGGATAGGCTCGAAAGTGTTAGAGTGTTAGAGTTAAATACCTGTGTGTAAATGTTATTATAAATTGGGTGAAGTTTAAATACTGTATTTTAGTAAAGTGGGCAAATCATTTTGCATAGAATGAGGACTCAAACATGTTTCTCAACAATCCTAGGTGGGGAACGCATTTAGTGAGGATGCAGCAAAACAAGAACTGGACACCATTGCATCATCTCCCTCAGACAAACACGTATTTAAGGTGGAGAACTTTGATGCACTTAAAGTAATAAGACAGAATCTGCAGGACAAAATTTTTTCCATTGAAGGTACAAACATAAATTTATAGTTATAACTTAGTTAAAATTCTTGTAAATGTTCTAAAAAAAGTAAATAATTACATTGTATTGAATGCTTCTATCAGCTGTTCACTTATTCTCAAGGATCTTTTTCACATTCATTTTGAGGATCTGTGTCCTGGCATTGAAGCAGTGAACTTTTATTTGTTGTGTAAGCTGCTTCACTATGAAGCAACTAAAATGACTGTATTGTTTTTTTATTCATTAGAGTCACATTTAAAATTAAATGTAACTTTACATTTAAAAAATGAACCTGCAAATTGGAATTTGTTGTATTGTCTCTCTCTTTCACCTTTTTTATTTTTTATTTTTGATACAGGATCTCAAAGCAGTGGAGAGTCACTGGAAATGGAAATGTCTCAAGAGGGATTCAGTGCAGTTTATGTGCCTGAGGTAATTAAAACTAACAGAAACTCACCAGACAGTCTAGTCATAGAAAGAGAGATTCACATGTGCCTGTCTGGCAGTTTTTAAGTTCTATGGGCAAATAGACAGGTAAACACAGTCCAGATTTTAAATGTAAAATAAATTGTATACAAAATGTATGTCTACACTGTAGGGAATTCAGATGTCTATTATTGGTGCAAACCAGTGGAAGGGAGGCTACGTGCAATACACAACAGGAGGCCAGAAGGTGAAAACATATGAAGATGTGTCTTTGGAGCCTGACAGTTATCTTGGTAAGAATATTGCAGCTTTAAGTATCTAACATCATGCACATGTGATCACATGTGCATGATGTTACGTCCCCACTTAAAAGCTAGGCGATGAGGGTGGGGGACAGTAACAGTTAGATCCAGGTGGAATGAAAAGAACGCCAGGCAGAGGTATTTAA